TGCATCACTCTTACAATAAATTCTAGCTCTGCTGTGGACACCATGGGACTATGTGAAAAATAAACTGATGGATCTTGGAAAATCATATTTTGAGAATTATATGTTCGTATCTCATACTCTCCCCACAAAACGCACCCACAAGTATGTAACAGAGAGTCAAGTTCATTAACTGCACAGGCATAAAAAAATAGAAAGACTTGATTGCATTTAGTGTTTTTATTCCTGGCATGTGTGAAATTTGTCTTTGGGAAATGCATTTTTGTTTATGGAATTACTATACAATCCTGGCACAGGCACTGACAGTAATTGAATGCTGTGATTTTTCTTTTAATTAAAAAATTGCCAAAAATAAGACACAAATGCATCTTGTGTTCCAGCCTCTCAATTGAGAAGCATGCTACACATCTCACAAGCCAGTGTTCACTCTTGAGTGTCAAGCTTCTCAAAGTGAAAGTTATGTTTCTTTTACACTTCACAACTATACTGTACCTTATCTACATAATAATCTACAGTGCCCATCTGTTTGTAATTAGATATACTTGTCATGTCTAGGAGACATGGCTTTTTGTGAAGATGGCATTTTTATTTTTTCTCCAATGTAATGCCTGTAAACCTAATAATAATAATGTATAATGCAATACAGAAGCATACGTTTTGAATTGCATGAGTAGCAATATACTGTACAGTATGTGCACAAATTTAAAAAACATAACATTTATATACCCAGTTCAGGGCTCGAGTAGTGGACTTATTTATTTTTAAAACCTATAGCAAATCACCATAGAATTTCAGATGATCTCAAATGACAGACGCAGGATCAGTGCTACCTTAACTCTCTCCCCATGTGGATGTGGGCGCACACACATGCACACACAGACACTGACACACGACCACTTTGTCAGTGACCATGTCCATGAATAATATTAAGTAATAAAATATGGTTCTGCTATCTAAAAGGTTGCATCCTGCAGAATATAAAAGAGTTACATTTGTCAGCTGGAAGAGTAGGGAAGTGCTAAAAGTACAGACACAGAGATTATAAACCAACATCAGGATCTTTTCAAAATATGTGCTGACGTTCATGTATAAACTCAAGACAATAACAGCACAGTGTGGAGAATATAAATCTCCATATCTCAAAAATATATGCAGACAGACATACAAGGGATGTCAACCCTAGTCATCAAAGGCCTCAGACAGATAGATCCTCTCGATTTTGGTTCTAACTCGAGAAGCAATTTTCAGGATTAATGTAATGATTTGCTCAGTAGGATGCTTCTGACTTTTCAGTGGGGGGGCTTCCGTCTGAGAGAGAAGATCGGGAAACAGGCTTGTGAACAAACAAAGTACAGCAAATCCACACTGATACATTGCATGGAAACCTATATTTAATTTTAAAGTGTTAAAGAGCTTGTAGCTTGGGAAGGTGTCTGATTGATATCTCCAATCTCTATCGATTTTCAGCCATGATGAAAATTTTCTGCATGGGATAGGTGTTTGCACCACAGGGTTATTTATTTGTCTTCAGTTAATATATAATGTGACAAACTAGTTGGATTACTACTACTAATGTACAGTATAATGTGACAAACGAGTTGGATTAATGCCATGCCATTCCAACACCAGAGACAGCTGAAAAATAATTTAGGGAAGAGCAGTTAGTTATCAAAATATAACAAGTATGAGGCACCTCCAAATCACAGCTTTATTACACCACCTTTACACTGTGCTTTAACAGTTTCACTCAAACAAGTTGTCACTTAACAAGCATGAGTTTCCAGGTGAGATTCTCTCATGTAAATGTTCTCTGTAAATGGAAACCATGCTTTACTGACTTCTTAGAGGAAGCGGCACAAGAAACAAATCCTCTGTATGGCCAAGAACAGAGAACATGCCTTTACCTACGTTATCGACAGACAATTGTACTGGAATGCCACACATTCACACAATCGAACGACTCACGAAAAGTGAGTTATGGTCACAATTCAAATGAAACAGAAATGTCACTGTAATGCTGTAAAGTGGACATACAGTACTAGATGCACTGCTGTCAAGACTAAGAGCTGATCACTAGAGTAATTCATTAAATACAGGAATTAGGAGTACAGGCCATAACAGCCTATGTTATAACTTATGAGAAGCTGCCAGCATGGTGCAAATCTGAGACTGCTTCAACCATGCTGCTGGGGAATATAAAGTTATGGTGTTTATTAATCATTTGGAGCAAAGAGGAATTGACATTAAGAAAATATTTTCTTTGATGACTGATTGGTCATGCTATGGTCATAAAACAGGAGGGTTTTCTTAAAAATCACTGCAGATCACATTGGTCACCGCACAGAAAAACATTATTGTATTATTCATCAGGAAATTATGAATTACAGGCTCAATAGTCTGATGACTACAGTGGTGAAAAAAGTTAATTCTCTTTTTGCTCTACCTGCCATAACAGACAGTTTCAAACTCTGCTTCAGGAAATGGACAAGTGCGTACAAGGACATTCCACTTCACAGCTACTGTATGTTTGTTGGTGAAGCCGTGGGCAGGTTTTGGCTCGCTTTGCAGACTATCTTGATGCAAGATCTTTTTGTCAGAAAAAGGTCAAAACTACCCTGAACTGCACTGTGAAAATTGGGTTGCGGACATCAGCATGTTTATGGCTGAACTCAGCCTCCATCAGCAGGGTGCAGATCAAAATCTCATGTGCCTTTTCAAAACCTAAAAGGTTTTTTTTGCAAAATGCGCCATTTTTACTCAGAACATTGATGCCTTATTATTACGCTGTTTTCAACATCTTAAAGACTTTCAAAAACAATCAGTGTTGTTGAATATACAGTATAGTGTACATGCGAGAATTGGCATAGGAATTTTCTGTCAGATTTCAGGATTTCCATCATCCTGGCCTGATGTTTTCTTTTCTGATTAAATTAATCTGATTAGATTAAGTCAAAAAGAATTGATACCAGAGACATGATATTTTTCAGTTTTTCAGTGTTTCAGTGCATGGGTATTGAGGATTTTGAAATGCAGCTAACTGAATCACAGTTCGAAAGATCTGCAAAGCACACATGAAAATGATCATAGTGTCGCTGTCTCTCTATCAGGAGTGAAGTCCCTGACAGTGAAATTCAACTGTTTTTGGACATTTTGAACGTTTTGAAGAAAATGGCATGTATTTTCACACATGAAATCAGTTCTTCATTCCTCCTGTAGAGGTTAACAAGTGAACCCTCAGAGGCTTGTGTGCTGCTTAATATGTCAAGCTATGAGCCTGAGACTGGAGAACTCAGCAAGTGAAAGCAAGGACAAGGACAAGGACCACACTCTATATTGCAAGACGTGCATATTAATTTAATAATTTTAGAAATTATTTGATTTTAATTGAATTTTTAAAGCAAAATATAAGTTGGGCAATTATTTACATTAAAAAAGAATTAATGGCATGCAAACCTATAAAAACAAGTGCATGATCTAACTCTTTCCTTCAGAAAGGTTACCGAGCCCTGGTCTATATCAACAGAGCACAAACCATTACTTCTGTTATATAAAAAATGACTTTTTTTACCCCGTGCAAACAATTTGAACCTCGTAAAGCAAATTAAATGTTTAACCATCATGCATGTTATGTCTCTTTACTTTAATCCATTGAATCCTTTCATATACATTTGTGAATTGTTGGCTTTTGCAATGTTAATTGAATATCCCCTACCTTTCATGAGTAGCAGACACATACAGTACATACCAATTATATAAAATGCTTAGGGTATTCACCTGATTCTCAATGATGTGTATGTTTTCTGTGTATAAAAATGAGAATCATGTTTAAAAAGGTCTGCACTCCACACTTCATGTATAAGGTCAATATGACAGATTCACCGTGTTTGCTACTCAGTGGTATTTGCTTTGAGTGGTATGATCATGGACACAGTCTATTCTAAAGAATCATGCTCAAAGCAAAGGGAGTGTCAGGGAAAATGTTTTCATCATCTGTGAAGTTAAATGACTTCCTCCTGTTTCTAACCTTTCTTATTTTCAAATGAATAAAGCACACAAAATATGTACATAGCAGTGCACTCATAAAACATCATTTCCAGGTCAGAATCAATCATGAAAATAAACAATGGGAGTGATGTAGCCACAGTGCTCCAGGTTACAGAGCAAATTTAAGGTTTACTGACCTTAAATACTTTCCCACCTATGAGTTTTCATTATACCATTCAGTTAGATTGCTAAATGAGCAATCTCATTGTTTTTATTTTTAATGGCACTACTTTTATCTGAATATTATTACAGGGAAACGAAAAACACACAACATGCATTTCCACTAATGAGGTTGCATTGCCCCCTATAGATCCTGAAATCTCATCAAGGGAATTATGACTATTCTCAGCACTCTCTCTCTTCACACAGCAATTCTGACTGAAGCCCAGTGCCACTAACTCTTAGTGTTTTAGAAATATCATTAGTGATTTAAGAGCATGTATCTGTGCCCCTATGAAATGTTAAAATGACTATAACGCATCCTATGCATGAAAACATAAATACCAAAGTCATTTTTAAAGAAATTACTTTTTAACATTTATTTTTCTAAATGTTTTTATTTTTTATCCTATTTTGTACCAGAACTAAAATATGAACAATTGTAAAATATAGAAAGGATAATATTTTCTATTTGTTAAATACCAAAATGCAATATATAAATACCAACTCAGAAGCTGTTCAGCAGTGAGAATAAAAGAGAATAAATGAAACTTTTGTACAAGTAGCAGAAGAAATGCACATACAGTATAAGCATATGTACATACCTCCCCATTAAATTTTAATTAAATGTATTCTTTTTAAAAAGCATTACTAGGAGAAAGAGTGCTTTCTGTTATATAATGCACAACTTAATGTGGTCTGGAAACAGTTAAAATGATGAGTATGTTTTATTGTTTAATAGAATATGAACTCCACCGTGGTAACTTTAAAGGGCTAGCATCGCACTGTGACAAACCTACCAGCTCCCACTGCATTGGCCAGTATGGGTCATTAAACACCAATGGGTCTTCGAGTCCTTCTTCAGAGTTAATGACATTGTAGATCTCACTGGGGATCTCACGTTGCCTCTCTCCCAGCTCTGCAGGGCAAAGAAGGCAAATGAGCTAGAAAAACTTCATCAGGCACCTTCATCTTTATCACTTCACTCACCAAAGAAATAATCATTACAGTTACACAAAATCATCTGAAGCACAAACACAAAATTAAAAATGTCACCGAAATAAATGAACTGCATAGATGTACGGCAGACAAAGGAACCCACCACACAACATCAAA